TACACTTTGAAATGGTACACAAAGATTCCCTCAAGATTAGTGAACCGTTTAGCGAATCATTCGCCAATTTCAACCCTAATGCCCTCAACCGCGCTAGTTTTACTCCAATTGCTGCTTGTTCATGTACTGAAGTGGAGTTCACCGTTTAAAGTATCACTGAGGCTATCAAAAGCCTTAGACTATCGACAGGTACGGAGATAGATGGCCTAAACTCAATAGTCATCAGAAACAGTGGTGATAATATATCGCTGTTATTGCTTAAGATATTCACACTATCAATGGAAACTGGGGAACGTCCCAGCTAGTGGAAAAATAGCTTCATAATTCCTCGCTACAAGTTCGGTGACAGAGCGAGTGCTGGCAACTACAGACCTATCAACATAACGCCAGCACTCTCCCGAATTATGGAAAAAGTGATTAAGAACAGAATGTTTGACTACCTACTTGGAGAAAACCTCATCACAAGGTGTCAGCAAGGTTTCATTAAAAACAGGTCTTGCGTTACTTGCCATCTAGATTTCGTCAACCTTATCACCAGTGGCCGTGAGGCATGTAAAATAGTCATTGTTCTATACTTCGATATATCAAAAGCATGTGATAAGGTGTCACACAGTATTTTCTTTGATAGGCTATAATCGATAATCGATAGCCAGGATGCATAGATGGTGACTAATTGAGCGATAGATAAGTCGTTTATTGGTAGCCTATTAAGCGAAGAGCGGAAAAGTATCAATGAGCTTGCCGTACGAGTTTCTTCTGGAAGCCTATACCAAATGTGTGAGAATTTATTGGGGAAGAAACTATCTCGTAAGCTCGTCGCACGACACTCAGTTTCATCCAATACTTTGTGGTTGCGCATATCGTACGTAGACGTTACAATTAACTCGATTTGTGGACCATGGGAGTGGAAGTGCTGATGTAGTAACTTATAATAAAATATGAGGTTCAGTTCAAGTCTCCCCTTCCAGAGTGGTTCTAACCCCATGTCACATCTGGATGTGTAGTCTAGATTATATTCAGCTGCTAATGTCTTGAGGTTGAAGTCCATTCCAGGAAGTCTATTCCAAATGTGAGAGTACTTATTAATGAGTAAGTTTCTTCGCAATTTGGCCTTACAACGCTCATTTTCAGCTGATAGATTTTATTACGTATATAGTGAGTAGATGTAACAACTACTTTTATTTCCGGGCCACATGAGTGCACTTGCTTACGAAGTAATTTGTAGTAAAGTATAAGATTCAGTCTAAGTCGCCTGTTCCAGAGAGATTCCAGTCCTAGCATGTTGCATCTGGAGATGTAGTCTAGGCTGCAGTCCGCCATTAGTGTTCCTGGTGTCAAGTAACGTTGTACTGCTCCAATTTTTCCTCTGTCGCTTGCACGAAGGCCACTTAAGATAAACGGATATTATTCTAAAATTGGACAGATGCTCACTCTGTGGAGTAGGACCCTTGATTCAGTGCTAAGAAAGCTACGGACGATGCATCCAATGAGTCTGCGTGACTTAGATGTGGTACAAGCCGTCTGCTGTGGGAATGTTTGGTCACTGGAATATCTAAGACCAACATCTAACACTGAAGAAAGTCTAGGTAGCTTTTGTCCACATACTTCGACGGACACGTGTGGGTTGTTTAGCAATAGATGGCGTATTACCTAGTTCACGGGTGTGACATGAGTATACAACCTTAAGGTCATCAGCGTATAGGAATGTTTCCCCTACAATGAAGCACTTTCACACACTGTTAATATGAGTTATGAACAACAAAGTTCCAAGTACACTACCCTATATTACTCGACTAGTTATGAGCTTAGGTTTAGACTGCATAGGATTTACCCGGACCATTTGGCTACGATTCCTAAACAATGATTTTGGCCAATGAAGTAAAGGGTCCTGGATGCCAATCGATTATAGCCTATCAAAGAAAATACTGTGTGACACCTTATCACATGCCTTTGATATATCGAAGTATAGAACAATGACTATTTTACATGCCTCACGGCCACTGGTGATAAGGTTGACGAAATCTAGATGGCAAGTAACGCAAGACCTGTTTTTAATGAAACCTTGCTGACACCTTGTGATGAGGTTTTCTCCAAGTAGGTAGTCAAACATTCTGTTCTTAATCACTTTTTCCATAATTCGGGAGAGTGCTGGCGTTATGTTGATAGGTCTGTAGTTGCCAGCACTCGCTCTGTCACCGAACTTGTAGCGAGGAATTATGAAGCTATTTTTCCACTAGCTGGGACGTTCCCCAGTTTCCATTGATAGTGTGAATATCTTAAGCAATAACAGCGATATATTATCACCACTGTTTCTGATGACTATTGAGTTTAGGCCATCTATCTCCGTACCTGTCGATAGTCTAAGGCTTTTGATAGCCTCAGTGATACTTTAAACGGTGAACTCCACTTCAGTACATGAACAAGCAGCAATTGGAGTAAAACTAGCGCGGTGAGGGCATTAGGGTTGAAATTGGCGAATGATTCGCTAAACGGTTCACTAATCTTGAGGGAATCTTTGTGTACCATTTCAAAGTGTAGTAGATAGGCTACATCCCTCGATGGCTGCAGACGTTTACTCAAAAGAGATGCAAACTTGTGTATTCTAGAGCCACTTTTGAGAGTGATAACCTCTTCGTTTGCTTCATGATAAGAACGTACTCTCTTGATAGATTCGTCAGTCTCATGAATGAAGTGCAGTAATATGAAGTCTTTCGACAAGCGGATTTGTGATGATACTTTCCTAAGTTTACTGTGGAATATTTTGGGTATATATGGGTCTGGCTCCTTATAAACCCTAACAGTTTTTACAGCAGCACCAGTATCTACACACAGCTCATATTTCCGTAGAAAAATGAGAGTGTGTCCGCTTACGAGGTTGTGGCAAAGAAGTCACCAATGGAGAGAACCTAAGGACCCCGATGAACAACTGCATTCTATTATCTTAGGGCTTCGACGCCGAGTATAATTTGGAGACTGTTTGTTTTTCTTATTGGGAGGAAGAATTGGTAAGCAACGGAATACAATCCTATGGTCGCCGTTAGAGAATTCGCTGCTAACATGGGTAGTGACAGGGATGATGTCACAGCAAAAGACTAGATCCAGTATGCTATCTCCACACGTGGGTTGCTGTATTTATTGCTTCCAGCCATAGATATCTATGACAGCAAGTATTTTTTCAAAGCGTTGCGGGCCGCGACCGGCCCCCCAGTTAACTTCAGGTAATTTAAAGCCGCCTGCAATCAGTTTGAAGTCAGCAGTGAGCAATCCAGTGTGGGCAAGTGATCTAGCCAACAGTTCATCATTTTGTTTTGTTGAACATGGCGCTCTATACACACAGCCTATGAGGATTTATTTATTCTTAAATATCACTGCATACGTCTTCAAGCAACCTCTCTGCAATCGTGCGACCTGTGATGAACGAAGATACTTCCTTGAAGCCTTTTGACATTTATTAGTCCAGTGTTTCATTGACTGGCGCCATTTCGTCCATTGCAGCTGTAAACAGCATACAAAAATGCAGAAAAATACTTACAACTTTATCTACAGGAGCGGATTCTTTAACTCGGCCTCGAAACTCAAAGGAATTTGGCCAATATTCACCGAGCTACTAAGCACAATGCACAGCACATGGTGGCTACGGTGGACATATGTCCAATTTAGCATGAGCAAACAGAAATAGGTCATTTCGTCGGGAAGGTGATATATCGTCATCAGTATTATTTGTTATTGTCTATACAGTGTATCTTAATGTTTTGTGAACTTGGAGATTGATTTCTGTTTAAATATTCTTTGAATCTGTGTCATACTTCGCGTAATATATATGATGTTTCAAATTAATGCATTTGGCAATTTAGCCAACACTTCCTTTTTGGAGAAATAAGTTGCTGAGTTACTTCTTTTGCTTTTGAGTTGTGGATTTGTATATTCATTAGACATGACCATCATTTCTCTCTGTTAACCTAAAAGCATAAGAAAAAGTTCTAAGTGTAGAATGACGTGCACCAATTGCCTGTGGTCTGAAGTTTTCTTTGCTTCACACCGGGATTTCTACTACCTGAAATGAAAAAGAGATGATGAAAATTTTTGTAAGAGAAATATCTCCGGTTATTTTTCACCACTAATTGTTATAAGCATATATGTACACGTGATATGTACCTGTATACTCAGGAATTATTATATTTGGAAACAGGATTCATCCTTTACTGTCAAGACTGTGGTAATCACTGAATGCCCGTGAGCACTAGGGAGCTCTTTTTCCCGCTACTAATCTCCTCAGCGGTACGCCTTGACGACGTGGCTAGGTATCAGACTGAGGACCATTCACCCACTGGGTAGTGTTCGGGTGTTTGACAATTTCCAATTTCTGTCATTTCACGTCAGAGCGTGACTATCACCCAAGGCCCTTAGTTAGCATCTACTTCATTTCTGGCTAGTTGGCCCCACAGGCCACGGCCTCTCGTTAGAGCTTCGTGATATCTATCTGGAATTATGTCACTAACGAGCACCATACAGTGGTGTAATTTTGAGATGTGCGTACTGCTGAGTAGTCTCATACTAGGACGAAACAGCTGTCCAGTGCTCCCCTGCTTTCAATGGCTCTCCAGATGATGTCAGTCGATGATGAAAACTACTTCTCATTTGGAAAATCTCCATTCATCTCAAAAATGCAATGTATATTTTTATTATTACCCCGACATATGACGCCTTTCCATGGAAATAATGAACTGCAATAATGAGTACGAATGTATCTGTACGCTCTGCGTTAATCAAACAAGGGAAGGCCCTTTAATATCTGCAAGCTATATCCAGATAGTCCATATTTAAATATCCCTTTATATCATGGGATTCTGGACCAGTGGAACTCCTCGCTGTTTCTTCCTCTTCTCCGAACATTTTCGGCTTGAGTGTTGACATCATTCGGCGAAACGACTATTTTTGTAAGTCATATAAATCTTTTTACTTTTTCCGAAGCGTTTGTTTGAATGTATCGAAAGTCTGCCACAAGTTTTTGAGTGGCCACTTCGTGTTGGTGGTTATTTTGAACCTTAGTATGAAATGCTTAGGGCGTCACAGCATTAAGTAATATGGAACTGAACCAGGATAGAGTCAGATGTTTGCAGCAGTGGATGAAATTTCTTTTACCAGAGGACAATGATACAGGGGTTCGAGATTGGCGAACGCTTCTGAAGCTGCTTGACTTGGCGTAAGTAGTAGAGCCTAATTATTTCCTCATGCTGAACAATCTTTCATCCATTAGCTTGATAACTTTTAGCTTGTGTTTAATTTTTCATCAGTTTTAAGGTGCTTAAAAACTTTTTGCACTCGAAGGTGTATATATACTAATGTTCTTCGAAAAGCTTCTGTAATTGTAGTTACAACATACTTATGTGTGTATAATGCATTATATATATATATATATATATATATATATATATATATATATATTCTGACATGCAAATTTGGAAAGCCTCACATTAAGTGTACGTAAAAGTTCACTGAAACTACATCCGGTACATTAGATGTTCTACTACTTGCCTTGTTTTTGTAATTACATTAATTCGGTTGAACGTAGCAGCGAAAAAGCTTAAGGCGAAGATATTTAGCGTAATGTTGTGAAAACAAGGTTAGTACAATAAGGTTTAGTCATATGCATACATATGATTCTGCTAATCCCCAATTACAGACATTTAGGATTGACACAAATCGAATCGACATTCTGTGGTTATAGTCTCAATTTTTAACAGACCTCAAACATTTTATTTTTTTTAAAGACGTTTCGCAGTATTTCCGGGATTTCGTCAGTGGTTGTGGCGTCAAGAAAGGTTTCCCAAGTGAATTCAGTAAGTATTAAGAGCTATTCATTCAGTGGCATTTTACGAGGAGCTGATATGCAGTCGTCTTTAAAAAAACTACCTGAGAATTTTGTCATTTCTTCCTGCAATTGTTTGTCTCAGCTGCTTCATATTTGATGTATGTATAATTTTCACTTAGTTTGGGTAAGGCTATTTCAGCTTATTTGCAATTTGTGCAAAATGCTCCGGATTTTCTCAGGTATGCCAACAAACGGCCGTTTCGTGTGAAAGAACTCATTCTGTAGGCTGAAGATTCTATCCAGCAGAACTAAGGCTAGTCGATCTAGGCACTTAACGTCTAGTCAGTGGATTACGAAGTTAAATACCACTTTACGTACTGAGACCTTAGGAATCAAGTAAAACTGCGTCTCAATGGTTGGAGTTTACTATCTGTTGGTTCAAAAAGTTATTACGTTGCGATAAGTAAGAAGTCCGTTTTTACTCATTTTAAATAAAAATGTACTGGTATGAACAAAATCAGCTGCAGGTAAATTACCTTACTGGCTAGGACACGCTGCCAAGTTGGTCTCCTTTTACGTGGCAGAATGTTCATTAAGACTATCAGAAGTGAACTGGTTCTCTTCCTGAGTCATCTTTAATTGCCTACAGTTTTAAGCGTATCTACCAAAGCACTGATTTGAAATTCGGCAGGACAAGTGTACCTTGAACTAAATTTTGAAGGAGTTGTGGAGATTTGGAAATATTTCAAGTTGTTATTCATCGAAGACTGACATCAGTTGGAGGAACAGAGGAAACCTCAATGGTAACGCGCTGGCCGCGGAACCTGAAGGTCGCCGGTTCGATCCCTGCTGGTGGGGTCATGGGTGCACACTGCTGAGGAGTCCCATACTAGGACGAAACGGCTGTCCAGTGCTCCTAGGTCTCCTTTGTTCCTCCAACTGATGTCAGTCTTCGATGAATAACAACTTGAAGTACCTTGAACTATTTGGTTACGTACCAAGGTACCTTACTATTCAGGTACTTGCTTTCGGTAGTACAGTCACCCTTTAACCTAGTTACTAGGAAGATGAGGTAGGTGTGTGATCGACCAACAAAGCATACATGTTTAAAGCAAGCAGAGATCTAATGGTTTGAAAGACTTAGCATTAGATATTCTGGAGTTTGTATTTCGCAATGAGTGGAAAAGATAAGGTCCTTTTTATTAGTGTTTCGCTGGTTGCTCATCGAGTATGAGTTTTGATTGAAAAGGTAGCATTTTCATTCGTCAATTAACCCCACTTCTCGCGTCGGTGAGATATCCACCTACCATGTGAGACTAAGCGTAGGCCACTACTCAAGAGAAATAAGTCATTGAGATTGTTCACCTTTAGCGATCGAGTTGGTGTGGACATCTGTTGCTCATACCAAGCCACAACCTACTTCTATGTGCGAAGTAGAATTCGGTTGAAATAAGACTAAGGTCAGGACGTGACACCTGTGCATCAAGACCTTGTCTGTTAACTTGACCCATGTAGCGGAGTGTAAACTGCATAATTGGATTCCTTAAGACAGTAAAAGTCTGTTTGGAAACTTGATACTGTGACTCATGATCTACCGCACTGCTGCAAATATATGTACTGTGTCATGTTTGAAGTCATGAATATTTCTACTAGCCTTCATTGATTTGTTCTCCCTCATCTGACAAACTATTGTGTGATTGGGCGGCATTTTTTATCATCCACTTCCTTGCATTATGATGCGAATCGTGGCAGTTTGAGTTGATGAACTTCTGTGGCAGGTTTTACTTTCATTTGTCTGTCGGAAATATTTAGTGATTATACAAGTATTATACCAATATACCTCAGAATTTTGTTAAAAGGAGCTATTGAGAATTTGTCATTTGCTGTTTTATATCACTTACCGTCATTTATACTTGTGGAATTCATCTAGATGGTGCTTGCCTTGATTATTGTGTGTTGTCATCAATAATTATCTAGAAAGTTACGGACAATAACTTAGAGGTAGTTTTTATAAATCTTGTTATTAATTATCAGTCCTATACTACTTGAATTAATCACTCAGTGGTGCTAATTATTGGTTTTTATTCCTTTACATTACAAATGAAGAAAGGATTCGAATCTGTGCAGTACAATTGATGGTGAAGATTTACCTAAAATGGTTTACAGAGTTTTGTCAGGTACGGTTTCTGTAAAGTGACGTCCTAGATTTCTTTTCTGTCGACCTTACTACTGTTATACCGATGGATGCTGCTGACATTTGTTCACCTGCTTCTGCATACTACTGTGTAAGATCTGCTGATATATATGACCTTTCAGCTTTTGCTTCTGGCTTTGACAATGGGACTGCGCCTCAAATCCAAACTGTTTATGACTGCAGCCTTTCAGCTTCCTAGCACAATGCATTATTACATTGTTGAAATGACTCAACCTCTTATTGAAGATTGTCCCATCTCCATCAGTTCTTTTGAATCCCTAAGCTCAGGTTCAGAAAACAAACAGATCACACCTATCCACCAAAGCAAATCTCTCAAAAGTTAGTGTTGTTTCTTCTTAAACTTTCTTTAGTCCCTTTAACTTGTCCTGTTGCCTCAAAACTGCCGCTATTACCATTTGGACACAGGGAAAAAAATAAAACCAACTCCGAGCTAATATTTGATGATTCATCTATAGGAAATGAGCAATCATACAAATTCGGTAGTCGCTCTCTTTATTCATCTCCAGAAAACTTTTTTGAATCTCACTGTCATATACACAAAAGAAGAAACTGCGCTACAAAGTCTGCTTTTGGAAACGACTTGGAGTTGGAAGCGGATTCACCACTTTATTCATTGAAATCAATTCTAGAATCACCACAGGTTATCCCCAAGGTAAGCGGATGTAAACTGTGCTTCAAATGAAGGTATTGCATCACTATTGGAGAAGCATCTCAATTTTATGATCCTCATAGTTTAGCAGTATATATATATATGAGCTTTTTCAGAGCTGATTGTGTGAAATTTACCAAGTGTTCAACATGAATTGTATATTTTGAGTCGATAAAATTACTATATGATTCATCGTTTAAAATATCAAACAGGTGTATGGTAGTTTAAATCTGGTTGGTGAGTGCTGTTTACTGGTTAAGCTGCTTGTATGTATCTCTGCTATTGTCGCAGATTTTCTGCCATGTCACTTAAAGCCTCCAACAATTAATTCCTAATATGTTGAGGACCCCATCGATGCAAATGGTGTGTCTTGCAAACACTTGCTTTGATGCATTGAGAAAAGAAAACAAGAAATGTAATTACAAAGAGAATAGTAATTGCTCACAGGAAGATGAGAAGATACTTGTGTGTCATTGCAACCAATGAGGAACTATCGTAGCAGTTATTTCATATTCTATTCGTTGATAAATATCGCACGGCTGCTTAGTTAGCACCGACTAGGAAGATTACAGTTCCTTACAAAAATCATATCAATCAGAAGTTTCGTGAGTTACTGTCATGTTTTGTTTTGAATGTCTAAGTGGGCGAACGGATAGGCAGGATAGCGTCAGGTGTTAGGATACTTAGTGGAAGCTTGTATTTTTGGATATTGGTGGATGATGGGTGCCTACTGAACATCAAAATAGATGGTGATATTTTAGATGTCAATTTCATGTTCTTGTCTAGATGCATGTAGTTGAACATCCATGAAGTAGTGTGTATGAATATGGCTCATTGGTACTGAATACATGTCTTTAAATAAACGAGTCCTAGGTTCGAATTCTGCCCCTCTAACTTCAACATAAACTACTAGGCGATATCAGAAACTCAGTTTGGTTGGTAGCTAAATACATGAGACCTTTCGTGTGAATTTGAGTCCCAAGAAATACTCACTAGTACTCGCCAAATTAGAGTCACTAAGTGGGATAGTTGCTCCTACCATTATTTTGTGTTCTCAGCAGTCGATATCCAAGCAAACTACGATCGAAGGTATATAAGTGTGCATAAGGTTACTTGCTATTTCATCAAACTGGTTGGCATGATGTGTTTGATTTATTCCCACTTGTGTAACTTCTGTTCTCTAGGGCCAGTTTCTATCTAAACTAGATGAAATACGGTCTTTATCTTCAAAGCTATCGGAGTTGCAGCATTTGTATGATGAGAACATGTGTGAACTTCGTCGCCTGAATTCCGAACTACAGACTTCAGAAATGAGACGGAAGGAGGTTGAAGTTCGTTTGAAGCGGCGTGAATCAGAGCTGAGTGAATTGCGTGATGAATTGACTTATGAAATTGAAATGCGTTCACTTCACGAACAGAAGTCCAAGCTTGTTGATCAGTAAGTTATAGTAATTTTTATGGCTTCATCATATTTCAAATGACATGACTTCTCAGTATGTAGTTTTCGACTTCGAGTAGCACTTAGACAACACAGGGTAGTTTGGAAGGAAAGCTGATTTCTGGACTGGTACTATTTCTGCGGCTGTAACGAAAACAGAGTTAAGAAACAAGAGTTTACGTGTGGAGTGCACTGAATGGCGTTAATTTGTTGTCTTCATAAACAATGTATTTGACACTTTCAGAAGTTATTCAGCATTCAGTGTGTGTCAGAGGTTTCTTGTAGATAAGCAGATTGTTGACAAATATTAGAGTATCGAGCAATGTTATTTCACATTTGTAAAACAACATTTCCGTTCATATGTGTGGGAGCTTTTTGACAACATGTGAAGTGATGAATTGAGTAAGCGGATAATTGGAATTTAAAAGGACAAAAGATCGGTATTGACAACAGGAACAAATGTCTTGATTTTAACTCGTACCATGTGAGTGCATAGATCTCTGTTGCCTCCTGTTTTTTAAGCATGACACACGTAGAGGAAATTTTAAAAGCGAAGGAATTAAAGGATACGACCGAAATCCTTCAGATGAATCTTTGAGATGAATAAATATCCTCTAAACTTCGTTCGCAAAATCAGGGATATCAATGATCTGAACTGAAAAAGTTTATCGAAACCATGTATCACAACAATGTTCATTTCTTTCAGGTCACATACTTTGGGTGAGACTAAGTGCTAGACAAGTGGAAAATCAGTGTTCTGCATTACACCAAACACTACAGAGCCCCTTAAGATTCACAGTTTAAGTATGCCTGTATTATAAAATACTCGCTACTATTCAGTATTCATAGAACATCAATGTTAGGATGAATGAACATGGAAGGGTTTCCAACCAATCCCCTGGAAATCCAGTAAAGTTCAAAAAGCTCGGAAACACTTCAAACATAGCCGCACATGCTATAATCTGAGGTCAGAGAGTAAACTCTGGTGGTATTGAAATTATTCAGAAAGAATGTAAAAGCTATAAGGAACGTGGTGCATCAAGTTGTCTGAGTAGGAAGCAGAGAATAAAACAGCGTGACCCAGTTGGATCTCACTCCGTCAAACGGATTCAACCAAGAAACGTGCACTACAAACTATAATCAAATATGCACATGCAAACTTCAATTTATGATACGGACACTAATCATACTTGACATTCGATAGCCTGTATTGGCTACCATTTTCAACCACGTGACAAATCGCAATCATTCATGCCGAAAAATTTTGATCTAGTTATCACATGTAAGGTAAGCTATTGATAAAGCTATTATCACTAGGTAGAGAAACGTTCCTAGAAGAAACCTTATAGTTTTGCTTTCATTGGCAGTTGCATACTATGTTAATGAGTACCACCCACACATTGCCCAAATCTTTTCAACATAGATTCCACTCTCCGAAAATAATGACAGTTGCATATCCCATCCAGTTATGTGGCATCCTGTCAGAGTATCCATAGCCGATAATCATAACTATCTGAAAGATGTCATCGTGAATTAGTTAACTGCGGAAAATCTTCCCAGTTCTGATTACAAATATTTCGGTAAGGGTGAGTGGCCGTCTTATGAGTAGTGAGATATTGACATTGGCAGTTTCAAGTAAGCCGTGAAAATGCAGTATGGTTGTGGCTAAACGACCAAGTTCTCCTCAACCAGCTTATTAATTGAATTGGGAACGCAAGCAATGTGACGTTTGTAACCATAAGTATTCATTATTCAGAGTTGTAGTCATACACCTTTCTCTCCCTGCATGTATGTATATATATGTGTAAACATATGTTTAATGTATAGAGGATTTTTCTTGTTAATGGAGGAGTAACTATTCCTTTCATGATTCAGTTTACAGGAAAGCCTGAACGATGCTCAGGAAAAACTGAAACTAATGGATCAATTAAGTGAAAAAAGTCAGAAACTTATCGAAGAAAATAATTACCTGAGAGCTAAAGTATGTCATTCATCGGAACTCGATAAAATTTATGTTATTTACTGCCAACACTGTAATCCCTTTATACAAATTACTTGAAGTAGTATGTGCAACCAGTGTTGTATTGCACATGAGATATTTGCAGAGTTGTTGTTTCGATCTTTGTAATGTTTATGAGGCTTTGATTCACAAGGGATTTCCTGAGGTCATAGCAACAGCATTCTATTTCTTTTCAGAGTATTGACAATTTTCATCTCGATGTATGATTAGTGATATTTTCAGTGAGAAGACTTGCGACATATCACAGCATATGTGGATTACGTTTTATTTCAGCGTTTTCACCGACAGTTATTTTGGTTGTGGTGACTTGTAGTCTGTTCATGCATCTTCTAGGTCGCATTGTTTTTAGCTTCTGAATGTTGTTTCCTAGGATTCGAATGAGACTGTGAACAAATATTCAGTATATCTACCTTACTATGCAGGTGAAAGTTTTTTTACTACTCAGAGTATTGTAGCGTCTATGGTAGTGACATGGTAGACAGTAAGGGAAGTTTAAATAGATTGGTAAGAAGTCATTGTGTATCCTGTGACTTTATCTACTGTACCTTTTTATTTGTATTATTTCTGTCTTTATTGTTGAGTTTGTCACTGTACACAAGCAACAGTTTTGCTTGATGAAATGATACACTGGCTGATACGATGAATCGCTTAGCATTTTCGATCATTACTCAGTTTAGGCGATGGTCATGGATCGACTACAATGAGTTAGTCCAAGATTCCGTTCTCACGAGCGCTAATCACTAGGCCACATCACGTCACATCGGCCATTGTTCAATTATGATCTTGCTCCCATCAACCAATCAAAACAATACCAACAGTCTTTTTATAGCAGTAGGATGTCTCAAGATTTCCAAACTGAATCACGATAGTATTTCATTGCTTTCGGCATTGAGATTTACCTAGTCTTGCTATTATAAATATTTTAGTTGATTAGTTAGGTGTATCACACAATGCAGCAGTAATGTTTACCGGATTACGTTTCGGATACAATTTGTTGTCCATAGTCATATCAAGATAATATGGAATATATCATCTTATCATATCATATCAGTGGTGAGCAGCGAAGGCTAAAGAGATGGAAAAGGCAGCGGCGGTCGGTATTAGTGGACAGTCATTTAGACTTACTAAGGAAATTTGGGTGGAGGGGAAGGTCATTGCGGTTAATGAGGCTATAGTGGAGAAGGACGGATCTGCGATTCAGTTGCAGAGGAGACGACTGGAACGATGAGCAGAATACTTCGAGGGACAGTTTAACTGGCCTTCAGCCACGATTGCGTTGCCCGCTATCCAGTCGGATCCTGATAGGCTCTCTAACACTTGCAGAAGTTGAGAAAGCGGTAGGTGACCTGAAACGAGGAAGGGCAGCAGGACCAAACGGACTAACTCCTGAGATATACAAGGATGGTGGTAGAGTGCTTTTAGGTTAACGGGTGTTAACTAATATGTGGGAATTAAATATGATCCTCTGACTGGTCTAAATCACTGATTATCCCAGTCTTCAAGAAAGGCGATAAGTCCTCTTGTGATAACGACAGAGGACGAACATAGTGTCTAAGATTCTAGGTTCTATAATTATTCGACGCCTGAGTGAAGCTGGGAAACAGCAAGCCCGAGAAAACCAGGCAGGTTTTAGACCTGGCCGTGGATATATCGACCAAGTATTCAGACTGTGCCAAGTTTTGGAACACAAACACGCTTACCGGTGCCCGACAATAGCTGTATTTCTCGACCTGGAGGCGGTATTCGACTCCGTTGATCAAGAAGTCTTACGGGAATGTCTCTCACTGAAAAGCGTGCCGAGTAAGTACATCACCTTAATAAAGACTCTCTACTCGAACACTTGTGGGCGTGTTAGAGCCTATGGTGAGATATCCGGGGAGATGTGCTGATCGAGTGGTGTCCATCAAGACTGCCCACTGTCTCCATTCTTACTCAATTTCATCATAGATATTCTTATGGATGTCTTCCTCTCGTCACCTGATTACACAGAGGTTGACCTAATCGCAGAAGAATTTTCGTTAGACCTATACGCATATGACATAGTCCTGTGAGGTGAAGACGCTGACAGGATGCAGAGTCTTCTGAACACTTTGAGTGTCAATTTGAGAATGTTTGAGATGCGTTTTTCACTACCCAAATGCAAATTGTTCTTCCAGGATTGATCTTCAACTATGCCCCGCAGCGGCTAACAATAGAGAGTGTAGTGATTGGATGTATCGACCACTTCACTTACCTGGGAAGTAGGATCAGTCCTGGTGGCTGGTAAAATCTTTGCACGGATACGAAAGGCTCGGCTGGCTTTCACCAACTTACGCTACTTATGGCGCCGCCGTGATATCCGATTGTCTACTAAGGGTTGTGTGTACTGCACAGCAGTTCGGTCTGTTCTGCTGTATGGCTGTGAAACGTAGCCATTGAAGGTGGAAGACATGAGAAGGCTTCAGGTGTTTGACTTCCATTGCCTTTGTAGTATAGGCCATATTCCATGGTATCACCAGGTGAGTAACGCCGAAGTCAGGTGTGAAGTTGTAGGGAGAAGAGGTAAGTCAGTTGTTGAGGTTATGAACCTTCATCGAGTGAGATAGTTGGGACACGTGTTACGTATGCCTAGTCACCGATTACCTTGTCACACAATGTTGACCGAAGTAGGTCCAGGCTAGAAAAAGGCCTGAGGTGGCCAGACTAAAATATGGTACCAATGTATGAAGTGTTTGACTGTTGGTTTTAGCCATGTGGGGCGATGCAGACTAGGTGGTTGGGGTCCAGGGGACAAGAGGAACCAGTGGTTGGAGACTGTGGGTGATATGGCTCAGAACTGATGTCAGTGGTGGAGATGTATACATACATTATCCATTATCCTCATCTTAACGATGCTATACCGAATCTCGCCATTTTCTCATTCTTCCTTCCTCTCTTTTCGTACTTTATATTTCTGTTGACTGAATTTTCTCATCTTCATCTTGTAGTTCACTGCCTTTTTTACTTGATGTATTGATATGAGGTGTGGCAACTCGGACCGTTACGCAGTAATTCCTGGTCCTACGTTGATGTGGATGGGTGAATGGATATCAGATCATGTCATATCAAGATGATATGACTAAGGACAATAAACTGTATCCGAAACGCAATCCAGTAATTAATACTGTTCCGCTGTGTGATACACCGAATAAACAGACTAGAATGTAATTACATTCTATTCTTGTATCATTGTTTCTGTATCATAAAAGATTGAGAACAGATAATGCGTCATGTATACTCATTGAGAAAAAATGTTGATACCTGACTGGTCCGAATGGTAGCATATGAAGTGGGATTCGAACACGAGATTAGACTCATTGGTTGAAAGTCGTCATCCTGAACCAATGAGGTGTAACCTTTTCACAGATGGTCAATTGTTTAGTGTGTATTACTAGTTTATTTTTATTTTACCATATTTCCAAACTTCTTATTGTACAGACTTCCATTCACAGCTGAGGACAGTGACTCGTTGGTGTCGTGAGGTGTGACTGACACAGAAGGGCTATCCAACACCTCACGTATGAAGCCTTTTTCTTTTGCTTTTGACGGTCATGTTAAATAACTATGTAATAGAATTTCTACTTTCTCTTCGATGTGGTAATTCTGGCTACTGTATTGCATATAGTCACTTGATTGTTCGCATAAAAAATGTGAGATAGACGGCAAGTTTACCAGAAGTTGGTCGAAGCAGATAGTTTTCAAAGCATTTAAGGTAGACCAACTGAAGACTTTTGCCTACCTTGAACTACATCAAATAACTTCGGGTATCTTTTTAAGCATAGCAGAACCTTGTTTAACGATCATCAAATGGTATTTTCTAATTACCCGAGTGTAAGTTTCCCCTTGTTTTGTAAACCAATTTGTTATTTATGAACGGAAGCAGCAATGCTTCGATGAGACGATGTGTGCGTGGTGTAGTTTGGACCTGCTTCGACGTAGAACCTAGCACTGGAATGCATCATTTCAAGTCGGGTGTTGTGAAAGCACGGTGGGAGATATTGGGCAGTGAAAGAATAATATTGAGGTAAATAAAAGTGGTATGAGAGTGAAATGAGGATTAGTCGGTGCCGAATTTCGAAGATGATAAAAAGCGAATAGATATGAGTCAGTGTGGTTGATTATGAGCCATGTTGGCATAAGTCTCCAACCATCGATTCCTAACTTCCCAGTTGTCACAGTTTGTTCCATTCATCTAGAAAATCAGTGATTCTCCCTTCTGTCATCTTTCGACAGACATAAGAAACACTGCTCAAAGATATATTCAGCACTTTTATTCAAAACGCTTGATCAGCTGGAAGTGACTGGTGTTTTTCCAAAACCCTTTCTGTGTACAGGTGAGTAATTTTGGCAGTGATGGAGTAGAGCTTCACTGTATTTTGTCTATTTGTTGTGCCACGGTGAAATAGTATTATTTCTTGGGTAACGTTTTAAGGACAGTTTTGCTCTCATGATCAAATTGAGGTGTGTGGTTTTGAGTAACAACTGTTGTTCAAAATGTCATTCAGTGAATACGGGTGTTCCATTGTGATCTGTCCAGTTAACACAGTGAAGTGAAATTGTACTCTTCCTCTTCCGAATACAAGATATTTCCTGGCAATTTGTGACTCATAAGGTAATGTACACTCCTGATTCCCTTCGAGTGCGTCTTACGTTTCCATCTAACGACATCGAGCCAAATAATTTTAACTCCGAATATTAGAGGAGAGTCATTCGGTCCTCAAAAAAAAGTGAAGACGAATGCAGAAAAGGAAACCTGTTATTTTCGGTGCAATCATCCTCATAACTGTGCATTCATGAATATATAATGGAAACGATAAAACACTCCATAGCGATTTCCAGTCAAGTGTCAAAATTAATTGCACGACAAAGGAAAGTAACGAAATATATGTAGATGGTTAAAATAGGAAACTAAACAAATGATAGGGAAATAAAAGGTGGTTAGATCATGAGGAATTTATCTAGAGTGAATAATCCTCTAAGACAACTTTCACAAAGAAAGTGTGCATACTTTTTTGAACGCACAGTGATAGTTTAAACCTTGCCGTTGCTGATGCTTCAGTTCTACTTAAATGTCTAAGCCTTATCTATTTCAAGTGACCTGTTCACACTTTGTACAAAATTTCGACGAACTTAATGAAATGAGCCAAGTTTCTTGAGTTTATTAAGTTTTCTGTTATGGAGCATTTACTTTCTTCCTTTATCAGTTAGGTTTGGTAGGGTTAACCAACGCATTTCACAAGTTGACACATGGTATGGCCAATGCACTCGGTTCCAGAGGGTCAGGTAAGTTGATACATGAACTGATGTGGGGCTCAGTGCCCCAGCTCATCCTTCGCATACTGATGAATAGGTTTTTGAGGGTAGAATATGTTTCCAAGATTGGTGGTATGAATATTCTCTTTATGGATCTTGATAATCGCTTCTTGAGGATATCTGGTGCATTATCCCCTTTTGCATTCAATGTTCAACAACAGTAAGATCTTTTTTGGAGTAGTATGCGTTTTGTGACTTTTTTTCTTTAGATTCTTATCTATAAATTTTAGTGGCTATTCATTTTCCATAAGGATTCCTCGCAAGTTCTTCATTTCACCACCAGTGACATCCTACTTGCTTATTCTTGATATTCCTGAGGAGAGTAAGCTGATAAGATTCCTATTTCTGCTGAAAGTAACAACTTTGAGAACTGATAAGCTGTTCATTTCAAGTGGGCCTTCTGTAAATCCATCTGACAAGTGAATTGTCTTATATTCTTGGAAGTTTGTCATCAGGAAATGGAATTTCGGGTGTGACTATTTCTGCGGTGAAGTTGGTAAGTTGTTTAGCATTGTTGAAAGTTTGGAGGAGGTTTTTGAGATTCTTAATCACGTCACAAACATGTACTGCGTATACCGACTTACCGTCTACTTAGATGTGCGATACTGGGAGAAGTTGGGTTCAGGGTGACCATATGAAGATGTCGCCTCAGTCGATGAAGTCCCTGACTGGGGTCATAGAGACGAAATGAATCAGTAGTTGCAGACCCTTAGTGACATGGCCGAAAATTGGTCGATCACAATTGCACAGATATATTCATTCCTTGACACTGTACAGCTTGAATATTCACACTAGCGTTTAACTTCAGATTGTTTATTCTCTCACAATATTTTATCTACTTTAACATCACTCTTTTTCAATTCACCTGTTCTTTGAGTACTATTGTGAATTGTGGTAACTTGAGCCGATGGACTTGTGTGGGAGGTTTTATTTTGGTTTTGTCAGTCAGTTTGTATGTTTTCTCAAGTTTTCGAAACTGTCTCATCTCATGTGATGTAGAACTGATGCTTCAAGTCATAATCACGAATAATTCTTGAGAGTTGTCTGTTTGTTTTTCTAGGAGAAGGAATTGGAAGCAATTCGATCGCGTCTATGTTATCAACAAGAGCTTGAACGCCAACTGTCGCAAATGAAAGTTGCTGCTGAACTTGCGGACAGAGAGGTAAAGTTTAAAACATTATTCGGAAAGCACACTTTTTATCTTACCTTTTCAGTGTTCTCACTCTAGTCAAGTATTACTTTCGTAATCAAGAGTGATTCCATAGTTCGTTTGGTAATTTGCTCTGCTTGGTAGCTAAAATATGTTACTACTCCAGTGCTTTAGAGTGTCAGACTTGTAAAGTGTAGTTGTTAACCATCAAACATACTGCTATAAGTACTTTTTACCAGTTTATTATCCGGTTTACTCACCGTATTATTTAGAGGATTACTCTGAGTTATCATCAGCAGCAATTTGAGGTTGAAACAATATTTGTAATTATTTTGCGGATTACCTTCATCACAAGCGAATTTCATTTGTCGATTCAACATTTTGAGATACTGAGAAATCGTTATGCTATTCAACTTTGTATCCCCTCGCGATGTAAACTCTGTGGGCATTGAACTAGGAGCTTTAGGCCGCTTAACGTATTGTCCATCGGTTTCAATATTTAAATACTCGTTATTTACAAACAACTCTTGACATAGCTTAGCTTTTCTTTATCTAGTCCTTGTCACTGTTGTCCTGATTGGCACTTCAATTCAATGCTCATTGGAGTCTGAAACAGCTGTCCTAAGACCAGTTGCTTCATTTATGCGTGTAGATTAAATATTTCATTACTGACACAAACATGAAACACTGCCTTGCAGTAAAGTTTTAATGACGTCAAACGACTTACTCTTAACTAACCATCTTAAAATTTTCCCTGCTATTTTGGCGTCTATATAGTTGCACTGAGAAAACTATACTGCAATATGATCTACACGGATGCTTAGAAACGACATGTGTTGGACCTGCTACCTTCAATGTTCGTACTTCAACAGTGGTTAGGTGGTTGTAGGGTTTTTCCTAGGACCATGAGAAGCTGCGTTCTTTTGATGTGTTTTAAAGACGATCACAAAAAAGAGCTTTAAATGGGTTATCCATCTGCCAGTGTGTAACATATGAACTTAATGGGATGAGTTCACTTGCAACAAGCTTCGCTGATATCGATGTTACCGAGCTCTGGAGCAGAAGCTGCAATTGTTAACTGGTTTGTGACGAACGATCTATGGTCCGATGACCGAGGTATCTGGATGACATGATCGCATTTTGGGTTTGATACGAATTTTGCGTCCAATCCACATTTTCCCAGAAGTCTTGTACAGTTTACGATTTTTCACCGCTTCATATTCTTCATATACTACTTCTTTCTGTATGTAAACATCCTCTTGTTGTATGTTGAGAATTGAAATTTTGCGCTATTTGGGTAACATTATTTGTTTTTTCCTGTTTGTTCTTACTCGGTTGATCATCAGTTGTGTGATTTAAAGCATTCCAACTAATGATCCTTTTGTTAAGCTATTCTTAAGGTTTTCAAGTGGTGTCTTCACTGCACAGAGAAATTAAAAAAATAGCTGTAAGATGGAGGATAAGTAACTCTAGGTTCAAGTAGATGTAATACTGTGATGACACCAAATATATTTGATTTTCCGTTAACTGGGACCAGATTTGTTTCTACCTAGTATGAATTCTTTGTGTGATAACTATTTTCTTCATTCGATAAGATTTTGTATTCGTGTACTTTTTAAACGTTCGTAGATACATGAATTATTACGTCAGCGTGAACAGCTTCTTGCTACATCAGAAGCGGAGCAGTTGGCGCAAGCCAATTCCTTAATTCGTAACCAAAGGTCTGTTTCCGAAACAGTTTCCTCCCAGTGTGATAAAAGGGAATATAGTTCCTGCGAGAAATGCTCACCTTCTCCAGACTCATCCCAACCTGGATTTGACTCAGAAGCTCAGTTTCCTGTTTCAGGTGAGTTATATCATTACTATTACTTCTTGAAACAGACGTTTCTGGTTTGGGCGAAGTATTATTAGGAGCTGGATAAGGTTTGTTTAAGTTGAGACAAGGGACTTTCTGTGGAGCCGTGGTTCACTACGTGTCAGGCATTTGAGCTCTGCTCCGCTATCAAGGCTTTTTCGTGCTACAAAGTAATATTGGCCCTGACACAATTGGTGTAGTTCATTGCCCACCGCGAGTGAGTGTCCTTAATCGCTGAGTAGATTCCGATTTTTTGAGACAGTAGCGTTGTGTGTTGTGCATTCATCATGCAAGAAAAAGATGTATTTTGAAATAGTCGTGTTAAAGCGATGCAAGACTGTAGAATGTTAGTTTCTCGTCCAGTTTACATCTATAAAGTGTCGATCGATGCTGCGAACCGTATATCTACATATTGTTGGCAAAGGCATAGGGGGTGAGTTTTAGTTATACATCGTATGCATTAATCCTTAGGGTTTTGTGTTTGAAGATGAATAACTGATGGAATCCGAGTGTATACATAAAATGATGCCAGAATTCACTCTTTTATATCACGTTTTCGTCAAGTATTAAATATGTGGCAATGACGTGCTTCATTTCTTAACCATTACTATTTGTGTGTTGTTAGTTTTGCTTTGAGAGATGTTATTCTTCTGTGAAGAGAGTTTAGTTTTGGGAACCTCAACATTTGTCTTTGCAACCTATTTTCCCTTCAAGAATTTGAATCTCCCTCTTCTTGGGCATTAAAATTGTTGTTAGTGAACGGAAGACCGAATCAAAGTCGTTGTCCGTAACTGTCAGGGAGATAATTGATGTCCGATTTCTCAGGGATTGATCCACTTCTTGAAGGCCATTTGGTTGACTTCGAATAATCTGATGATATTATTTTGCTAGGTGAAGACGCTGAAAAAATGCAGGGTCTTCTGAACGTGTTGAGCAGAAAAGTAAGTATGTTTGGTGTGTGTTTCGCACCTGTCAGATGTAAGATGATGCTTCAGAACTAGTTTACGTCTACTCCTAGTTAAAGGATAGAGAGTGAAGTGGTGGATTGTGTCGACCACTTCACTTACTTGCGTCAGCTCGAATGGGCTTGTTGCTGTTGAAATCTCATCTCGGAAACGAAATGCCCACTTGGCATTTTCCAACTTGTATCATCTGTGGCGCCGACTGCCTAGATGTTTGAATGCCGGTTGAAAGATGAGTATACTGCTTTTCAGTTCTTTCTGTCGTGGAATACAGTTGTGAGAAATGGTCGTTGAAATTAAAAGATATGAAGCGATTACAGGGTTATGATCACGGATATCTTTGTAGGATGGCTCACGTATGGTGGAATCACCGTGTGAGAAATATTGAAGTCAGGCAAAAAGTTCTAAGGAAGGAAAGCAAGTCGACCGACTAAGTTTTGAATTTTCACCGATTGATGTCGCTTAGATGTTGCGCATGCCGAGTCACCTCCTACTTCGATGTGTAACGCTAGAGCAAGTTGGATTAGGTTGGAAGAGGTTTCAAGGTGTCCATAGTAATACGTGGCAGTCGATGAACTCCCTGACTGTTGGTCTGAGTCGTATATGGAGATGCAGACTACCTGACTGAGCTGCTCGAGACGAAAGGAATCAGTGATTGAGGACTTTTGGTGATGTGGCTGGAAGTCGGTCACTGGCGCAGGTGTATTCACTCTTTTGTGTCTTCTAAAGGTCGGATGTTTTAACTAGACCTAATTTTTAGAGTCCTCCCTTACTTTACACTTTTGTGTACTTTGATATCAGTCTTTCGTATTTGCTTGTTCTTTGTATGCTACTGTGAATTGTGGCATCTTGAAGTCATGCACTTGTGCGCGAGGTCCTGCGTTGATTTTGTCTCTCTGTAAGTGGCAATAAAACAAACCAGGTTCTCAGTTTCACGTAGATAATTGAGGCCTATATAGGAGGTTATACATGTTCATTGGTTGGGTGAAATAGCATATTGTTTGTCTTGTTCATTAGTTTATTTGGCCGCAGAAAGAAGTATGAGTAGTACCCATCCATCGATTTCTAGCATTATTTTGTGAATTCGGAAAAAACTTGGATATGATTATGAGCACTGAGTTCTGCTCGAAATGCCGTGCAGTAAATAATACTGTATCAAACAATCTTGCATGGAGTAAATGAATACTGGTCTGATTATTCTGTAGGTTTTCGGAGGTTGTAATTGATGTTGAAATGTTTTTTGAAAGATTTGAGTTGTTCCTACTGGTACAAGTGAATTTGTTTCACATTATTCCTGAAGAAAACCTCGCCTGGCTAACTAGTTACTCTGCTGGTCCTAAACCCGGATGAAGAGGGAAGATTGTGCATAGGGCTAGCAACCCTGCCCCGTAAGACCAGTTCAATCGCCAAAGAAACTTCAAAGCACAAAGAAAATAAAAAAAATAAAAACAAACTTATTTCTCGCTGGAATCGGGGAGACGAAATGACGCCGGGTGGTGAAAGCCTTCGGGAAGCCGATTGATCGATGTCTTCTAATGTCTCGATGAAAGCAAAAGTAAACATGGGGACATGGAGTGTCCGCTCCATGTATGAACCTAGTAAGGTTGCCCAGATTGCAAAATAGATGAGAAGGTATAGCATAGAAGTGTGATGAATCTGCGAAAGCAGATGGAATGAAGGTTAACTCTCCAAGCTGTTAACTGGAGAGTCAATAATCTACTCCGGTCACCCAGACGACAACCACGAGCACACTGAGTTATGGAGTGGCTATCATGATGTCCCCAACAGCATCGAAGGCTCTCATGCAGTGGGAACCAATCTCCTCCTCCAGGATCATGACAGCAAGATTCAACTCAAAAGGAAAGAAAGTTACAATTATACAGCGCTACGCTACGCACCTACAAATAATGGAGATCAAGAGGAAAAGGAGGAATTCTACTACTACAATCAGTAATGGATAAGACTCCACCCCACATGGTGACATCAAAATTCTAATGGGTGACATGAATGCCAAACTGGGAAGAGATAACACAGGAAGAGAACCAATCATGGGTCGAGAAGCGCTCAGTGAAATCAATGAGAATGGAGAACTGTTCGGAGACCTTTGCACACTTAATGACTTGGTGATTGGGGGCAGTGTGTACCAACACAAGGATATTCACAAAGTTGCATGGAGTTCACCAGGACACACTGTAAATCAGATCGACTTCATCTCAATCGGAAGAAAGTGTTGACTCAGCCTACGGGACTCAAGATCAAGAATGGGAGCAGATGTAGGTTCACACCACTCACTATCTAGTGCAAGGAACCTACCAAATCAAGTTGAAAGCCTTCACAGAAGTTGGTGATAGGCCACGGTTGAAATGCAATACCCAGAACAGAAACTGAACTGAAGGCCGAAACTACAAAGGACATCTTCACATCAATTATCAGGAAAAAAATGGGAGATATTAAGCAACATCACTGAGGAAACCTGTGTGGAAGAACACTGGAACTCTTTCAAAAGAAACCTGCATAACTGTGTTAAGAAGAAAGAAGACAAGGAATGGATCTCGATGGACACATGAAAGCTGATAGAGCAGGGAGAGAATGATGGTGATGGTGAAGCAGAAGATAAACCAGTGCAGTGCAGGGATGAACAACGAAAAGGGGAACTGAGTACAACGTATAAAACGCTGGTTAATGAAGTGAAGAAGAGTGCACACAAAGACAAAAGACTTCTACAACACATTGGCAAGTGAAGCAGAACAGACTGCTGGTAGGTTAGACCTGACTACATTATGTCAAATAACCAGGTTACTATCTGGGAGGGAAAAGATCAACGCAGAGGAAACCAATGATAGACAGTGAAGGAAATTCAGTTACCAAAAAGGAGGAACGTAGGAAACGATGGGTTGACCACTTCAGAAAACTCTTGAATCGACCACCACCACCACCACTTGCAACTCGTTCAGAAATACCACCAGCAACCGCAGAGTTACCAGTGAACAAGGGCCCTCCGACGAAAGCCGAAGTCCTGAAGGCCATAAAGTTACTGAAATGCGGGAAAGCAGCAGAACCAGATGGAATTCCTCCAGAAGCATTAAAAACGGACACAGAGACAACAGCAGACATCCTCACACTACTACTGCAGAAGATTTGCAAGGAAGGAAGAAAAGGTACATGCCGGTTGATTGGAAGAAGTGCTACTTTATCAAACGTCCAAAAAAGGGCGACCTAAGTCTTAGCAATAAGAAAAACTGGCGAAGAACCATGTTCATGTCCACACCAAGCAAAATATTATGCCACATCATCCTGGAGAGATTAAAAGGTGCTCGACCGGAAAAGGCTGGCTGGTTGGCTTCAGGAAGAAGAAATGATGTGCGGATCAAATTGCAATGCTACGCTTCACATCATCATGGAACAGAGCATGGAATGGCAGTCAACTCTCTACCTCAACTTCATTGATTTTGAAAAGGCCTTCGACAGCATCGTCTGAGAAGTAATTTGGCAGGCAGCTGCTTCAACACTACGGTTTTAGTGCCACAAACTTTCATCAACCTCATTCAACAGCTGTATGAAGACACCACATGCCGGGTGATTCACAATGGAAGCTCAGTGACGCTTTTGAAGTTGAGTGAAGACAGGTGTAAGACAAGGCTGCCGCCCACTATCACCGAAGGTCTTCCTGATTATGGTGGACTAGATCATGCAGCAAACCATGAGGAGAGAGATGAAGGAATACGCTGTTTGACCGATGAAAAGACCCTAGAAGATTTGGATTTCGCTGGTGATGATTTATGTGTAGTGTTTAGTAGCACGAACTCGAAGACCTTCAGGCGAAAACCGATAAGGTAACAGAAGAGGCAGCAAGGATGTGAGTTAAAGTGAGTGTAGAGAAGACAGGTGATGAAGATACTCAACAGCAACACCAAGCACTAATCACCATGAGTGAGAGAAACCTAAAGGAAGTAGTCTCTTTCACCTATCTACGTAGGCAGCATCGTTTCAAGTACAGGCGGTGGCGCAGATGAGGACATCAAAGCCAGGATCGGAAAAGCAAGACAGGGAGGGATTCATTAACCTGAAACCAGTGTAGAGATCTACTGCACTCTACTCAGCATAAAGAACAAGATCCAGATTTTCAATACTAATATCAAGTCAGTGCTTGTATATAGTTCAGAAACTTGGCGCGACATGTAAAACGTTTCCAACAAACTACAGATATTCATCAACTGCCTACGCTTGATACTGAAGATCAGATGGATTGCCAGAAAGAATAAGCAACAAGGAACTCTGGTCTGATGACGAACCAACGAAGCAAGAACCTATCACCCAACAAATATACAGAAGTAAGTGGAGATGGATTGGATTAGGCGTACACTGAGAGGACCGACTGGGGACATCATACGGCTGGCCAGGCTCTCGAGTGGAACCCAAAGGGGATACGACGAGTTGTGCGTCGAGGCGAGGATGACATGGAGATTGTGCGAGGAGGAGAGGGAAGTTTGTAGGCAGTCGTGGCGCGAAGTTCCAAATACTGTAGTAAAGAGAGCGCAATACAGACATGCTACTGAAACCCTATGTTCCATTAAAAACCCAAGGAACAAATAATTCCTGAAGAAATTTAAGATACTCCTACTTGTAAGTTATGCATGTTTCCTTCTGATCACTTATTCCTTCTTTTACTGATTTTCATAATCTTTATGATAGGTAAGTAATGTTATTTAGGGCTCGAAAACGTGAGGTTCTACATTATGAATCTATTACAAGTGGCCTGTTGACTTGTCTGTTATATGAACCTTGATGATAAAGAAACGGATGTAGGTGGAATTTGTCTAAGTTTTCAGAATGACACTTACATCTATTACCCTTCACTTTTTGTCGGTTTCATCCACCTATGATATGGATAGCTAATTTTTATACTTGAACTATTTCAGATGTGAGTTCTGCAGAGTGTTTGGCTTCTGTTGTAATCGTGAATAGTCAATTACAAAACCTTGAATTAGCTGTTGTGAAAGCTCAAAATGATTACCAAAGTATGCGAAGGAAATTCACGGTTCAACGATTCACTTCTCTGTTCGTAACGGCTCTTGCGAAACACCGAAAAAATATCATTAACTCTTTGCAGCATTCATGTGAGGTGGGAGCTAAATTGCAATTTCGCTTGGTTTTTTTTCTTGTTTTGATTTCTGACATGCTTTGTTTTCTAATATCACCTAACTTAAATCTAATTTAAGAAGTCATTATGTAGAAAGGTGAAAGATTCTCTACCCTGAATAGCTGTGGCCGGATCAGAAACACGTGCAGCAAATGTGTTAAAGCATCTAGTTCATATTATCCTCTCTCGGCTCATTATTAGCTAAATTTGCCTATATATTGACTCAAAAACATAATTTAGATATGTATTTTTATGGTGTCTGTATTTAGGAGAGACTACAGAATGTTTTTAACATAGAAATGCATAGTTCTGTAAAGCAGTTTTTTTAAGGCCTGCTGGTTTAGTGATGGTAATATTAGATCTTATCATTTGAATTGATACAACGACCAATAAAACCTGATTTTGATTAGCACCGGAGAGCTTCACATAGTCAAAGCATTTTTTACTTCCTTATCATCCCAATGACCGTGTATCAATTTTATTCAATGTAGATCATTAAGTTAAGTCGATTACATTAGCCTGGATCACTTATATCGTATCTTCATTTGATACCTGTCAATACTATTTTCATGTGTTTGTCTTTCCTCTTGTCAACTTTCTTGGCGTAAAGATATGAGGTGTGTAAACTTAAACTGACTTGTAATTATACCAGGTCCTATACTGGTAATACATTAAAACTACTTAAATCATACCATGTAGTTTCAATTTATTATTCAGCGTTTCTAATTTCCTTCAATTCTACTTCTAATAACAGGATACTGTTTACGACACCGTACATTTGTACTGTCGAGTACTGCTATCAGTAGTGGATTTATCATAAGGATTATTTGAGTGAATATCATGAAATATATATGGTGCTCATTGTTTTGTTTCTTGTTAATAATATCATGTTAATGCATTCGAATTTTTTTTATTGAATTCAATAGTAGTTGTACCGTTCACGTTTTCACTCGATGCTCCCATTGTTTCCATTTTTTAAATCCAGACATTGACCGAGGAATTAAGTTGTCTGAAATCGTTGATGAACTCTAGATTTGAAAAACTTTGTGAACAGGTAAGATTTCATTGTGTTATGAAAATCTAAACCTTATTTGATACCAGTTTTCTGTTTAAGGGAATTGGATGGGGGGCGGGGGGAGTTGTTTTTGTTTTTTATAATATTACTTGAATATCCATTTGCATGACATGGGCAACATGTACTGAAGGGTCTGTGACCATTAACATTAACGTTTTTGGTTCATGATCAATTTCTTACGCTTCTTGGTTTATTTTATTCCATGCATTTTTTGTAAGCAGGTTTCGAGTTCGGAATCTAGGTTGATTCAGTCCAATCAGATGATTGCAGAGATACAGACAAAGCAGAGCGAAAAAGTCGCTCACTTATATGCAGAGAAAAAGAAGTTGAACTATGAGATAGATAAAATAAGGCTAGAAAATCAAATCGCCTTCCATGAATCGGAGAACAAAGTGGATTCTCTTACAGCTGAAAATAAGAAGTTGAATACTGAGGTTAGTATTAATAATCGGTACATTTTGGTTGCATAAATAGACAAACTAATCAACGCAGATCCTTGCACTAGACTCTGCCAGCTCGAGTTCCCTTACTTCACAAGAGTGAAAATGAAAAGGAAGATGACAGTGAAGTAGAAAAAAACATTTAAGAGGAGATAGAATAGATGACTGAAGGTTGGTAAAATGCAAATTCAGAGATGATAAGAAATTCACTCATTTTCACGATTGTGATCGATTTTTAGCCATATCAAAATCGATTCATATGCCTACTATAACATCCTTGAAAAATTGAATGCAACTACCATCAGTTGGATAAAAACTCACTAGGTTTATCTTAGCATAATTCATATGCGAATATTACACTGAAAATTGTTTTCACAAATTCTGTTGCGAATATGAACTCACCATTTATTCATGAAAATGGTCTCTAACTCCTTTATTAGGTCTGTTTTGGCATAATGCTCAAACTAATCACGAAATGTGGAGAATTTCCTGCATGTCAAACAATGCGGTATAAACCACCATATAATTTCAGTTACCTGACTTTTCAAAGTTCACTTAAGAACAAATACATGTGACACTCAGTCAATCATTATAAACAGATAATTGATGAATGATACGCACTTATTCTGAACCAAACATTTGAAGAAATCTGTGAAAACAAGTAGTTGTACATTTGAAAAATGAGTGATCCGGAATATGTTACGCAAGAAATCGTTTTATTCGATTCACTTGTTCACAGTAACAAAATTACTGCAGTCAGAATCAGAGATCATATAACTTATCGTCCTACCTAGCTTTTTTGCGCTCGAGCAATGTTAAATTGATGCCTTGAAAGTGAAAATGAAACATTACCATTTTTATATTCCATGAAGGTAAAGGGATCAAATACAAATAATTGATATCTCACATTTTATGGGAAACGGGTGTACCTTCATCCTAAGATCTTACGTCATCTTCATTTACGCACTGTCTATTTCCATGTTATTCCTTTTCTATTCACTCCTATTTGCGTACTGTTTTGAAGTAAGGCAAATTGCCAAGTTGTACGCTGGTTTATATGAGTAATATGAGAGTAAAACTTGGGCACTGTAGTAGAGTATAATTCCATTTTAGTTAATGTATTATCTATATATGCGGGTATATTGAAAATCCTACTATACGTATCACAAAGGAGGTGAGGAAATTATAACTATGTAAAGGATATATCGAAGTTGTGTAGTTATCTTGGCATAACTATAAACAACAAATTATATGTGGTAAAGTTAATAAATCAGCTGAAGCGTACTTTGGTTTGTCTGTCTCCATCAGTCTGAAAGTAACTTGATGAATTTTCTACTTCTTGTAGCATATTTCCTAGTTGTATCGGAAGGTGATGTTTAAAATGACTGCTACGCAATGGTCTGCTTTTAATAGTTTATGTATCTTTGTTGTTAAAGGAATACACAGTGACTACTTAGTTCGAAAACAAGCAGCATATGACAGTAATTTACTGACCACAGGAAATAATCTTTACGCGTTTGATAACTAAATGTTGATTTCTACCACCAACCTGCTTATCCAAAATCAAGTCCCGTATTAAGTAATTAACCGTATAGGCATTAGTATATTAGTCGAAGCTGCCACAGTCTGAGGATAGCGTAGTCGATGCGAAACTTACAATTTTTATTGGTTTTCTCGAATCTGTTTAACTTAACAGACTTAAATGAATACTTTAAACGCACTTGGCTGACCGTTATCATAGCATTTCGTCGCACTATAATTTGTCTGCTCGACATACACTGGATGTACACAACTGTTTCCTGTTTCACTCTTGTTTTAAATAACTAAGATCATACCAACTATTATTTTTAGCTGACACTTCTGCGTTCTCATCTTGAAGAGAGTTATACCAAGATGAATGAAGAAATAAACAAACACAAGAAAGCCAGTGAAGAAATCGAAAAGCTGAATTTAAAACTTGTTGGTCTGGAGAGGAAGTATAACGAATCGAAAATTGCTAATAAAAAGCTACACGTTCAACTCGATGACCAAATTAATGCCAATAAGATATTTCGCACAACCACTGAGGAAGAGGTAAGATCTTCAATTATTTGTATGGGCTATCAGAGTTCGAGTAGATAGCTCTGATTAACACTGCATACTTGCTCAGTACTCCCTTCACAGTCGAACACGGAGTCCAAAGCTGCCTTCAAATCGAGAAATGTTGACCACGGATAAGTGTGCCTGTGTTCCATAACCTGATAAAAAGTGGAGAGAGATCTGGTTGATATGCCATCATCGAGGTCTGAAATCTACTGTTCTCGAACTGCAGTTAGGCATCGGATAACAATAGACCCTGAGATTTTGAATGTTAGTAATCAATCCGATTCACCTTTGGTTGTCACGAGACTTCTCTCGTTTCCTATAGACTGGGATGATCATTGCAGTAAACCAATCTGGCGTGACTTATTTTGATTGCCATATCCTACACAATACATCGGTTAATGTGCTCAGTAATTTTCTATCTCTCTCCTTAAAAGATTCTGGCGGCAAACCATTCACTTCTGCTGCTTTGCATCGTTCCACTTCAGAAACAGCCTTCTCAACTTCGGGGAGAGTTGGAAGACTGGCCTCTATACCTCATTCAAGTTTGGGCTGGAAGCATGGCAACTAAAGCGTTGCACAGTGCCAGTTGAACTGCGCTTCAATGGGTTCTGCCCAACGTTTCAACTGTCTTTTCTGAAGGGTTAACAGGGTCCCATCCTTTTCGGTTACGATCTCATTGACCATCGTCTTCTTCCTGTCATTATTTTTTATAAACCTAAGTGATTGCTGAGTACTACTTATTGCTTATGCCTTATCCGTCTGACGCGTTCACCAATCTCCGCTTCTCACGATCATTGGGAGGACTTTTAGTCAATTTACGTTTAAACTGCTTTCGTTCCTCACTGGAATCAGAGCCAGCCGAAATGAATTTTATCACGTCAATCAGTTGAGATAAAGTTGCAGAAATTCAGTCTTTTGCTAACCTTCGGTTTACTGCCGTTTCTAAAGTAAACTGAATATTACACCGGGTTTTCTCTAGTTGAGGATTGCTGTCATATTCAGACAAGTACTTTCCTATCTCATCCCTAAATACGTACTTGACTTTCTCACCTACCAGTCGAGAAGGATGAGCTCTACCATCCAGTGAGTGAGGTTCACTAGATGTGCTTGACAGATATTGTATTGTTAGTTGGGGACTTGGATCAACAGACTAGGCGTTTAGGTCCAGAGAAGGGTGGTTTGGTTGGCCAGTTGAGACTAACCGGTTGCAGGTGAATTAATGAGGAACGTCTTCTAGGGCTTTGCTTATTTCTAACCAGCACCAGCTTCCGGTATAGCCTTCGCCGTTGTAATATCTGGTGTCTTTCCTCTGTCAATCAACCTTGATCTCACATATGTCACGACGTAGTTAGCTACTGAAGAGTTAGATGTGGGTCATTATGGACTACCCATCTAAACTCTCACCATACTTTATTGTGTGCTAAGTTCATTTTACTTTTTAGTGGTCATCAAAGTCGTTATCCGAAATGGGTCGACGTAAGCGAGTTGGGTGGATCTAATATCTCTTCTAAGTGCTAAACGGAGCTAGAATGAAGACTAGCTGTCTAACCTCCAGATAGTAATGGTGAACATTGTCTGCATGCAACAACGAAGCGCCATGGAAATGAGGATTAAAGCTGTTTGCAACCTCAAAGAACGTCCCGGTAGTAAACGTTGGGTCTTCAAGAGCTCCTTACAAAAATTTGTTGCTCAGCTGTTAATTGCGACGAAAAGCGTAAATCCCTAGGCGGTATCATACAACGCTTCAGTAATGGCTGTGAATTCTAGTGGTCAGAACGCGCGAATGAGATAGAAGCAGCAGCCACATCTGGCTGTAATTGGAAGTTATCCCAACTCATCCGAGTCACTGGCAGCAAGAAACTTGGTGTCAGTGAGATGGTTTGTGAAATGAATGGTACTCTGGTCACCAACACTTGTAGACTTCTTAAACGTTGGGCAGAGTACTTCGAAATGCAGTTGGTTTGCAGCTCCAGTGAGGTTGACTTCATTGTGTGACTAGCTAACATCGAATCACCTAACCAAGTTCCGTAAGGAACTCCAAGCTGTAAAGCACCATAAGACACCTTCTCCAAACAACTTATACCCTACTACCTTTTAGGTTGAAGGTGAGACTGTAGTCAAGAAACACAGGATTGTTTCGGAAGTTATGGCAAACAGAGAGTCCTATTACTCTGAAACGAAGCCATTGTTTTATTTACCTTCACGAAGGGACAACGTCACCCGGGTATCAGTCTTCTGCCAGTAGCGTCTAAATTGTGAGCTGCAGCCATAATTTCCCACAGGCTTTGCAAAATGTATGAAAAACTGATCTACGAGGAGTAGGTCGGGTTTCATTCAGGTGTATGCATTGATAGCTTATTCATCTACCACCAGGTGCTCCAATACCACTGCATTTATTGCAGACGAATAATTGAAATATTCCTCGATATTAGGATTGCCTTTGTTGGACAGGATTTTACTGTAGAATTTTCTGTTAGGAGTGTCCTTGAGAAATTTGTCAACATCTTGGAAGCTGTGTACAATGTGGAGTGAAGGCATACAAACATCTATCTTCATATATGCATAGTAATGATGGGCAGTGGCTAGCAGTGGAATCCAGGATGCGCATTTCGTCCTCTTTGGGACTTGTCATTGTTCTTCATTGTTCCACATTGATAATGGGGTTAGGTAGGGCTGGTTGGTTCCGCCATTCCTCTTTAGCTTCGCGATAAATAGAATTCTGGAGATAACCCTGAAGAAAGTGCATGGTGGTGTTATCAACCTTTTACCAGATGAAAGGCTTTTTGAATTCGAGTATACGGATGGCATCATTTTACTGTGTGATATCATATGGGCTATCCAATTTACACTTAATCAGCAAGAGATAAGTGTCCTTCAGTATAGCATGTGCTTTGTACTGTCTAAGTGCTTTTACAGGATGATCAGGAACCTGTACCTGCTTTCACTCTTGGAGGTTAACCGTTGAAAGTTGTCAAAGTGCTTATGTAGCTGGGTAACTGTTTGGGTTTTGACGTGGGTAAATGAAACTGCAAATTCAAAGCCGAAATGGCATATATCGATCTGTATGCCACTGACTATTCACGTGTTTAGGAACTAGTTGGAATAAACGAAGAGTAGTCAGTGTTGGATGTAGCGCCACTAGATGAGCATTAGTTGTAAGGCTAGTATCTGTAGGCATCTCACGACTTTTGTAGATAGGTTTGGAGACCGCGTAACACACTAGTTTGCGACGATACCAGAAGTAGTTCAGAATCGAAACCAATAGCGATTATACTGTGGCTTTCTTATATCTCGATTACTGAAAAGTAGAACAGTAGTAAAGGTTTCTTTTGATGTACCTTTGAAGCTGCTTCTTTGACAACTCTTGTCTGTTTTTCTTAACATTCTAACATTTTTAAATTAGCTTAATGTTGCATCTCTTCGTGCTCATGCTCTACCAACTTTGCGTGTTAAGTGATATAAGTATGAAATATGCCTTGAGATTCCAACGTATGTAATTGTATTTATTGTTTTAGGGATCTCGTGATGGTATCTTTGCTCCCAGTAGTGAATTAGATGTTACTTTTAGGAGTCGAATTCCTTCTGATAAACATTAATATTACTATGACAGTAAATAATCTATAAGTAACGTCATTTTGTTGCCAATGTACGATTAACATAGCTATATGCGAAAAATCAAATCGCACATCATTCTGTATTATTCTTCAATGGTATTCTGCTTATATTATGCTTCTTAGTCTCTTCTTTTGGATTTTGTCATGTAATTTATTCTACTGCATAACATTTCTGTCACAACTTTCAGATAGATCGTTTGAAAAACAGCCTGGCAACCTCTTCCGCTGAATACTCATCTGTTATCAGCAGCATATCCAAAGAACACCGACGAGAGAAAGATCAACTTTTGTTAGACATTAAGCGGGCAGAAGATTCAAAAGAAATCTCTTTGCAAGAAACTGCAAATTTAAAACTCCTGCTGGAGAATACCATAGCCGAACTGACTGATGAAAAAGAAAAGTTAACTCAGATTTCAGCATTGTCAGATACTTTTAAAAGTGAAGTAGCTGATTTGCGAGCTAGTCTCTCTAAAACACGGAAATATTTGTTAGAGGCTGAGGACAATTTAAAATCTAACGATGATCGGATTAAATCCTTACAAGTAACAAACGACGAGTTAAATACCAAACTGTCCGTGTCAGAAAATTCAAATATGCTGAAAGAAAAAGAAGTTTTCAGGTTGACAACGCGAATTGTGGAACTGGAATTAGAGAATAAGCGAAGTTCTGAGAAGATTGCTGAGCTTGAGAGTCTCGCTGAATCAGCCACTCGTCTTCGACTTGACCTTGAGCGTCATTCTGAAACTCTACGCAGCCAGTGCAGTGGGATGGAGAGTGGTTGGTTATCAACTCGTATGCAACTTTCTGAAACAAGAGAACAACTGATTAAAACAGAGGAACTACTTCACGAAACAAGATTGCGTCTTCTACGAGCGAACTATGAAAAAGATGAAGTAGCTGAACGTTTGGCACTCATTGCATCGAAAAATCCAGGTAGTGACCAATAATTCCGTTTGTGTTACTTAATTTCCTTGATTAATATGCTTCCTACATTACATACAGTCTTTTCTACTCCGAACTGCACAATGTAGATAAGCCTTAGAAAATAGGTTTTTCAAACTGATTTCACCATTCCGACTGGTTATTTAGACTTATTTCATGTGTCCATATAGCACTCATATGCTGCAATCCCGTTGAGTGAAGATGCAGAATCTTTTAGACATATTAAGTGTCATTTTAAATTTATTTATGATGCGTTCCTGACTTCCTAAATGCGGTATGTTACTCCTGAACTGATCTACGCTGTTGCCCTGTTGAACAATAGGGCATGAAGTGGTTGGTTGCATCAACCAAGTCACTTATTTGAGAAGTGAGATCAGCTGCTGTGGGTCAGGAACTGGCGAAGTCTCGTCCATGGATCCATAATAACCACTTGGCTTTTAGCAACATACACGATTTATGGTGCCACCGTGATATTCGATTGTCTGTTAATGGTATAGTTTACTGCTCTGTTCTAGTATATGACGACTGTAAAGGTGAAGAAAAGAGGAAAGTTGGGAGTGATTGACCACCATTCTTTTCGTAGCACAGGATAAGCCGTGTTGGGTGCTGTCATCACGTCAGTAGCGTAGTAGATGTCAAGCGTGGGGTTTTAGGGAGAAGAGGAAAGTTTTTTGATACGATTGTGAACGTTCGTCGACTGAGGTGACTTGAATGTGTGTTATGTATACCCACACAGCGTATACGCAGTCGCACATTGTTATCTAAATTAGTTTCAGGCTGGAAAAGAATCAAATTTAACTAGAATGAAACATGGCATCAGTGGATGAAGTCTTTGACTGTTGATGTGAGCTGTGTATGTGAGTGTAGACTTCCAGGTTGGGATTCGTGTGACAACGGAAATCAGTGGTTGGAGACTGTCGGTAAGTTGATGTGGTTGGGTATCGATCTTATTAGTGTATATGCATCGACGAATTATCCTCATCTTAGTTGTCATATCACATTTTTTTATTTGCTTTATCCCTCGTTCCTTTGTCCCTTTAACTTTATGCGTCTCTGGACTACACTTTATTGTAACCTTGCCTTGTATTGTGATCCACTTTGTTTTCTTGGTTCTCAAGTGTAATATAAATTCTCGTTTAAATACTCGTTGTTTTTTAGCTCTTCGTAAAGTTCGATCAACCTTGGAACTTGGTTCAGATTTATTGGGAGTATATGACGTTGCTAAAACCGAAACAAAACCACACCATTCGGACTCTGCGACCGGAAATCTCGTTCATAACAAGCACTTAGAGTCTGAAGTTAGAGGGGATTCAAATATGGGTGATCAGAATAATTCAGGAACTGGATTAATTTCGAAAGCTTGCTGTGATGTTGCAGTTCAGAAATGCGATCCACATTCTCATCGTACGTGTTGGAGCATTTTTAACAAAAGATTTTAAGCGCAAGTTATATTCGTTCTACCTTCATATGTCACTTTGCTTTCTAGTTTTTCATAAAATTCCGTTGACAATAGCATAGCGTTTCTGAGTTAACTTCTGTAAGATAACCAATCATTAAACTCAGGTCCAGCCATTATCCATAAAAGTGCATTTGAATAATTTAGCAAATATGTTGGACGATAGTTACTACTGACTAATCTGAATTGTTTTGAAGTCAGTCATATTGTTCACGGCATCTGTATTGTATATCGGATCACAATTTGTAATGTGAATCTTTTGGTCTACATAAAAATCCCAGTAGTGGAGTTTCACATTTAGTCCATAATGAAAGGAATGCAATATTAACAAGTCTTTAATTTTCAGTCATGGTGTAGTCCACGCAAGGTGAACAGAGACTCGTTTGAAAATTGCAATTTTATTTTTTAGAGAATAAGAGCTTTATCCTTTCATTGTCGTTTAGTAATTTCATGTGTAAATCATACAGTCTTAGATAACTATTTGTGCCTAATTTTAGATTGGCCTCCCTTTGCAAATATCACAGCTCCGGTTAGTCCTGGGACATTACAAAACAATAATCCTGATGCTGTCTCTGCTACATCGGTACCTCTTCACCGTTGTCGATTTGGTCGTTTAATTGTTGCTCCTGAAGGAGAAGAAGCGAAGGTGCTAAAATCGATCACTTACCAGTCGTCTCACAGTCATCATCCACCTGTGGCGAAGGCAGAAAATAAGAGTGATTTTGGTAAGTTTCACGTAGTTGCAGTTACATTCCATAAAAATAGATCGACCAAAAGTATCTCATGATGAAGCTGATCTGTTGGCAATTTAATTAGAAAATCCATTACTCGACTGACCGTATGTACATTTCTTAAGTATTTCGTCTCTACAAGACTAGAGTGATTCAGAAACCATTTCATAGCTTCTTTCTCTTATTAAATTAGGCAATAAGTCTAACCTTAGCTAATTATGCTCTGGAATTACGCAAAAAAGACAATTTACTAAACATTATATTTTATTTCAGAGGTTCTTTTCACCTTCATATAAAATCTTTGAAAATTTTTGTTTATTAGGAAAATAACAGGCATGTTTTGCACATTAAATCTTAATTTTAACTTTTGGTGTTTAAGCATAGGCATGGATAATGATGAAGTAAGTAGGTAACATAATTTTGAAGGGAGATTACACTTACCCCCCTCTTATAATAATGGTTGAATCAATAGTAATACCGGAGTCAATAAAAGGATGTAGTAAGTGCACAATAAAGGTGTTCACGAAGTTTTTAAACGTTACCAAAGATAGCTACGCTTACAGTGTATCCCTGACCGATTCTGATCGCCGAACTCTATCTTCTATCCTGCTGAACAGTTAGAATTTATAGCCTACTACTTAATAGTGTGATATCGTTGGTTCGATAAGTGTGTAGTCATCCTTTGAAATGGCCTACTACTCGGTCTGGATATACGTAGAAAGCCACCAATTTTGGTTTACCATGTTGTCTGGAATAAAAAGAAGTTGAAGACATAATGGCGAAAATCCCGTGATTAGCATCACACCATAAATCTATAATATTATTATTATTATTATTGTCGTCGTCGTCGTCTTTGAGAGTACCTAGGAGTCGACGCAACCAATCTTTAAGAAACTAAATTGACATGAATTTAGATAGAACTTAGTGATGTAGTTGAATTCAAAACCACTTCAACAAATACTTTTGCTAATCATTATTGGGAGTAACTCTAGGCTTTGTAGCTGGTAAAGTGACTGAAAATGTGCAGCTTTCAATACTGTGATATACTTTTATAAGTACCCAAAAACTTAACCAAAGTAAATGGAATGCTATTTTTAATGTACTGATGTTTTTGGACAGCTTCTATTTGCATGACCCAGAATCTATCGACTTTTAAAATGTAGTCGAGGTATTGTTTGTGTATGTCTCCTTAAGACGCCTGATTGCTTTTAGACTATTACTATCAAGCTAACGATAACGTAAAACGTTGTGGAACTTCCGAAGCTTCGTCATTAGTTCATTTTCGTTGTACAGCCTCACATAACATTCTTCAATGTATGCTTGTCCGAAACAAATAAGTCTGTTCAAGGGCTTCAAATCTATACCGATATACTTGAAGAGTATAAAAGGCTTTTTGTTGTATCTGTATTTTTGGAGGTCAGCATCAGGTGTGTGTCAAAACTGCTTTGTGTGATGTAAATTTAATGTATAGTATTACTTGTAGTCGTACTTTGCACCATGTGAAGTATTATCATGGTGGCTAAAATACTTGAGAATACATGTAGTAAGACTACAGAGTGGTTTTCGCTAGCTATACATGGAGGGCTAAGTAGTATAGTCAATTCACTTATTAATATTATTAACCTATTTGGAGTAGATATTAGCATGGTAAAAATGCACGAAGTCCCCGATTCTTGGTAGTGGTTCACTTGAGAATATAAATCTTTAAAGTATAATTTATAGATAACGTTTTTCATCTCAGATGAATATGTCATCCATCTATCTCTTATGCTTGCAAATTCTGAATCATCGGACGTAGAATGAAGAGATGACCGTATCACTACTTTGTCAATTGGCCTGCAGAACTAGTTACTGAATAGAAATCGAGCTTTCAAAATGTAAAGCAGAAGCAGTTTTTAATTGATGTTTTGGAACACGAAAGTCAACTTGTTGTCTTGGATGAAGTCGAATATAAAACAGATGGTTTCTGTAAGCGATACTTTGTCAGAAGTGAGGTGAGAGCTACGTAGGTCATCTGCTTACCAGACGCACTAACGTCACTTATTGAATTGATAAATTCAAATCAGTCTAGCACAATATCCACGAAGGATATTTCTAGATAGTTGACGGATCTCACTGAGCTATTTAGTAATAGCATGATGAGGTAGGTATCCCAAATTGGACGTGCATTTGTGATATACCATGTAGGTGGAGTATCACGAAACCAGACGGCCGTAGATTTTTAAATGATCCGGAGCTGATGACCGACTCATCACTTTTTTCAAAATTTAAGTTTCGATTCTATTTGTTCCTTTGTATCTTTTTAGGCAGATTTCTTTGCAAATTTGTCTTTGTTTGCTAAAATGAGTAATATTTTGGCGATGTAATCCAATTGGTATTTCATGACGAATTAACAACACTTTATTTCTCAAATTATCAAGTAATTGTCTTATTTGTCCCCTTGACGGAATTCATCTGATTTGAAGTTTGGTAAAATCGCGTTGATAATGGCAATTGATAACCAGTAGCAGATGACAAAACAGGTTTTATTTGTTCGTCGTGTATTTAATCATATATGCGATTTATCTTCCAAGGATTAAAGTTTACTGACTAGCCTGATTGTGTTATAGTATGTTAATAACGCCATTCCGCATTGCACGATAAACCAACTGTTATGCACTATTTGTTACAACTATTGACGTTACTTTTTCCAGGTAGTGTGAAATTATCAAATCCATCTACTGTATTCAAACCAACTGATGGAGTACCACAACCGGATTCAGAAGTATGTTTAAGATAAGATGCTCCCTTGTTATTAATATTTATCTAAGATCGACATCTCATTAGATAAAATATTGACACACTTTATGCCACAGCTCCTGAATGCTTCGAATAGCCGTATATACGTTCAGCAAATTTATGAGCCATCAAAGTATATGTTTATGATCCATTTGAGTAACCTAACACCATTTCGTTCAGGAATGGATTACTTTTTTCTGTTAGAAGTATTGAAAGCTGCCTAATCACATTTAAAAAGCCAAACATAACGACTGTTATAGGCAGATAGGAATGTGGAATCAGGAAGATGTCCATATTGGGGCCGCACTCTCTTTAGTTTTCCAGCGATTGGTCTCGTAATAGGAGACTCCTTAGTAGGCATAGGGTATACAGATGACATAATTCTGTTCAGTAAAGACGCTAACAAGATGCGCAGTGTGTTACTCCTGAACTGATCTACGCTGTTGCCCTGTTGAACAATAGGGCATGAAGTGGTTGGTTGCATCAACCAAGTCACTTATTTGAGAAGTGAGATCAGCTGCTGTGGGTCAGGAACTGGCGAAGTCTCGTCCATGGATCCATAATAACCACTTGGCTTTTAGCAACATACACGATTTATGGTGCCACCGTGATATTCGATTGTCTGTTAATGGTATAGTTTACTGCTCTGTTCTAGTATATGACGACTGTAAAGGTGAAGAAAAGAGGAAAGTTGGGAGTGATTGACCACCATTCTTTTCGTAGCACAGGATAAGCCGTGTTGGGTGCTGTCATCACGTCAGTAGCGTAGTAGATGTCAAGCGTGGGGTTTTAGGGAGAAGAGGAAAGTTTTTTGATACGATTGTGAACGTTCGTCGACTGAGGTGACTTGAATGTGTGTTATGTATACCCACACAGCGTATACGCAGTCGCACATTGTTATCTAAATTAGTTTCAGGCTGGAAAAGAATCAAATTTAACTAGAATGAAACATGGCATCAGTGGATGAAGTCTTTGACTGTTGATGTGAGCTGTGTATGTGAGTGTAGACTTCCAGGTTGGGATTCGTGTGACAACGGAAATCAGTGGTTGGAGACTGTCGGTAAGTTGATGTGGTTGGGTATCGATCTTATTAGTGTATATGCATCGACGAATTATCCTCATCTTAGTTGTCATACTGTTTTAGTTACCTTCAACTAATTGTGATCGTTTTTATGTTTCAATTCTATCACTAAGTGCATCGTCGTTTGATGCGCTGATAAGAGGTATGCCATATTGTATGGTTGTGCATTAACGCCAGGTGTTAGTTTGATATTGTTTACGTGTTCTGGGTATTATTTGGTATCTGAAAATATCTTTCCACCGATTCCGATGATCAGTGAAAGTAGCTTGAACAAAAGTCTCTGCTTCTATTCCAATCACTGGTGTACTTAAAGCCTCATGATATTCTGTATATTGGTAGTTTATTACAAGGTAGTCAACTTAAAGTTGCCAGGTGACTAAATTGCATAGTGTTTGCCTGCAGGGTAAGTGGTGAGATAAGTGCACATGTCTTATTTAAAAGCTATTTTCACTAATGATGCTGTCATTTGCACTGATTTTTTCCAGGCTACTTGTTCACGATCCGTGTCATCCACATTATCATACGTACCTGAAACTCCATCTTATCTCTTGAACAATGCTAATCGTTCCCGAAGCCGCAGCGCTTATGAGATTGCCACAGTTCCTTTGAAATTATCATCCGGAAATGACTCATCTCTTGTTTGCTCCGATACAACTGTGTCATCAGCATCACACAGTTCGCTAACGATGGTTGAAAGTGGGATTAGCTCCAAACGTAATGTGTGGATTGCTAGAAAGCTACATAAACATCCTAAGAATGTTACATTTAAGGATTCAAGAGTTAAGGGTGGTCGATTTGTGGAGCCCTATCCACCATGCAGTGGAACTTCACGAAACAAGGCAAATGAAAATGAAAATTCTGGTAAATCAACTTGGCGCAGAGTATGGTCCAGGAAGAAATAGTGAAATATAAGATTTTTATTGTACATATATCTTTATTTTTCGTTTATATCACGCTTCATAACTTTACTTGTTTGTATTCCCTAAATCAAATATGTGTACCATATGTTTCGCGCCTTCTCCTTGCCCAGTATTCCATGAAGGAAGCGAGAATGAGTTAAAAGTTTCAGGATTATTAACTAGGGTTTCCGCTTGTTTTATCTGTGTGTCATCTTGACAATTGTTTATCGATTCATGTGTCTTTGTGATAGTAAAGATAAAAGTTACTGCCTTGCAAAGTAGATTACATTGATAAATGTCACTAAATGTAATGACTAACCCTACTTGTTTCACACTAGGCAACGCTTACACAAGCCCTAGAAAAAAATCTCTTTGTTAACTTTAAAAGCTTCCCATTTAGGAATTACTGAAGCCAAACACTCGTCAATTACATGAAAGTAATTTACACTAGGTTGATATTAAATATGCTGATGAAGAAAATCATAAATCTAAGGAGAAGTGATAATCGGCTTGTATAATTTTATTTCATTAATAGAAAGCAGATAAATAGGTGGTTCATATTTCTCATGGGCTATTCGGTTCGCTATTCGGCACTACTCAGTTTTGATATTTGGCGACAACCTTTGGACCACTAAGAGCGTATAACGTCTTCGGTTACTTTCGTATGACTCTCTGTCTATGATCAAAAAATGCAACTACTGAAGCCTGTTTTGAATTATTTTCGTCTGGACAAGGGAAGGTTTTGTGAGAAATTGTGTCGAGTTTGTTAGATGCAACCACTGTATCGCAAGAAATTCCTCAATAGATTGAGTTGACTGACTGACAAAATCCAAGTAGAACCCCGCACACAAGTCCATCGGCTCAAGTTACCACAATTCACAATAGTACTCAAAGAACAGGTGAATTGAAAAAGAGTGATGTTAAAGTAGATAAAATATTGTGAGAGAATAAACAATCTGAAGTTAAACGCTAGTGTGAATATTCAAGCTGTACACAGTGTCAAGGAATGAATATATCTGTGCAATTGTGATCGACCAATTTTCGGCCATGTTACTAAAAGTCTACAACCACTGATTCATTTCGTCTCTATGACCCCAGTCAGGGACTTCATCGTTTGATTTGCTTTCGCTCTTTACCGTGGTCAGAACCAGCTGGAATCAGTCTTGTTGCATTAGTCGGTAAGGATGACTTTGCGGAAATCCAGTGACGTTTGCTAACCTTCGGGTGTAGGTTACCAACTGTCTTTACCTCTGTTTCTGTAGCAGATTTAATATCACACCAGGTTTCCTCCGAACGATCGTTGCTGTCACGATCAGATAAATGCTTTGCTAAATCCTCCTTAAATAGATATTTGCCAATATCAACTTCTAGTTGACCATAAATAAGCTATAACATCGCCTGTTTCCTGCGACCAGCAAGCCACAGACGCGCATGGATACAAGCCTCTCTTGGCATTCACCAACCTGCATCATCTTTGGCACCGAATGGGAAGATACTTGACTTTATTTAAGGACGACTGTACTGCGCTTCAGTCCATTCACTCCCGTTATTCGACCATGAGACATGACTGATTAAAGTAGAAGATATGAAGCGGTTACAATTTTTTTTGATCTTACGTGGCAATCTGGATCGATCAACCCAAGATGAGGATGGTAATTGTTCAGCATTTTCCTAGCTGTTATATCCACTCTTAAGCTTTTCATCATCAAGCTAGGTGACTTCAGCAGCAGTTCCCTCTTTGTAGGGTAATTACCGTTGAAGTCGTTTAGTCTGTCGACGAGACGTCAAGGCTTGGGGACTAGTGAACAATTATTGTCTTAATTCCATAACCGTATGCTTTGAGTTAGTAGTCCCATCACGAGATTCACAATAAAAGTTTTGGAAATCAATCCTATTTACCAAGAATCATGATAATATTACTCTAAACATGATTTCATTTTTAAAAATTAAGTTTGCTGTTTTATTTTCATTATCGCTTTCACATAACCCACTAGCTGGTCAACTTTGATTGCTTGAAGTTGCTTGCATGTTTCAAAGTCTTTTACAGACTTCTTCCTAAAAGAAAACTATCAGTATAATACTAATCAACTGTTATGTGACGACTTGCGCTGTTCAACATTACGAAATCCCATGTCTGCATCTTGATATGGATTGGACAGCGAATAGGTGTGACTAGGGACCACCTGCGAAGCATTGTCATGTCGAAGATTCGCATCTACAGTATAGTGTCACGAACACGTTCTGCCTAAATTCAGATTGCGTGTCCAAAGTGTAATTAAGGCTGTTTTGGCGTCTGTATGAGACTCTTGTGGTATCAATGCCTAGGCAAGCAATAAAACTGGTTAAGTAACTCGATCATGGTTGAGATGCTTTAGGTTAATTTCAAATCCTCAGTGACTTCATTCTGAAAGATCCAGTTCAATTAAAAACCGTCAAGAGAAGGAATACCGTTTTGTTACCACTACCTCACGTTTGAATACACTGTAAGTAGGAACAAATTATATCATACGTTGAGTGAATTCATGTAGGTGTGTCTAATAGTAATCATTGTATTTACTGAGAAATTTAATGTATGAGACGAGAGAATTGTTTGGTAAGCTAATGGACATCTATTAGTCCTAGCTTTGTGCAAACTTTCCTCAGCAGCGACACAGACGAAAGTCTATTTTTGCTAACACTGATTCTGTAAGGTTGACGCAAATGTGCTACGTAGTATCTTCCGTTATGCACAATACACTACAACCAACGGTGTAGGTATGTGTGAGAGTTCTGTTTCTTCTGAAAGTATGTATCTAGTTTATCACGGGTCTAATTTTACCAGACTCATTTTGTGTTACCATGACCAAGGAAATGATCGTAATAAAGAGGACTAATGTTACCAAGTAGTTGGACTTTGTTAAAACTGAAATCTAAAATGAATTAGATTTTTGAGTAGCTTGGAAACCATTATAAATTACGAAAATTGTCAGCATCCTTTGCAAAGCAAGACTGAAGGCCTATATGTGAACCTCTTCAGTGATGAGTACTGTTGCAATCCAACACCCTAGCAGCAGTATCATGTACGTAATTTAGAAATTCAGAAGTTTGTTTAATAATACTGACCATTATCGAATAGTCGAAATAATCTTATAGTATGGTATTACCTTTCTTCGTGACAGTAATTTAACCCTTCTGTTACGCATTCTTCATTTGATTTCCAGTCACACTTATTTTACAACAAGTAATTATTGACACTGTCAAGTATCGTAGGAATTCTTACGCAACTTTGATTACTATATTATTTTCCTGACCACAATCTAACAAGTATTAAAATTCCAAAAACCATGTTGATATTCGTTACTGTTACATACAGACATTAACTGTAAACAAATGAGGTTGTACAGTTTTTGAGGATGATGTTGTTGAAGATAAATTTGCTCACTAGACTCGATGTGTCTAGTTTCAAAGAAGTTTTAATACTTTCTAGGAGCACTAGGAAAATCCTTAATGGGAGAACTAGCTTTTGACATCCTAGAATTTCACCCTCTCGCACAAAAGGACTACAGGAACAGTCATAAACTCGACTATCAACATGGTCTGATTTTGTGCAATCTTGATTAAGATGTTGCAAAGTACAGGTGATCGATGCATGTGTATACAGAAGACTGTGAAATAAGCATTAAGTTACTAAGTATATTATGATAAATGACCTTTACTTCACAGCAATGTGAAAGATAGTTGGGAACTCTATGCAGATGACACAGTAACTGGTATCTTCTTGCTACAGATTTGTGTTCTACAGCTTTTTTGTAATTATAACAACTAAAGAGGTTGGATAGGTGTATTTGTTTTGCGCCAACAAACCTATGTATTTTTGTGTCGAAATACAAGCAATGATCTAACTTCCGAAAGAAAAATGCTTATTTCAGTATTTTGCCATAACCAGTTAGAATTTTGCAACCAACTTACAAAGATTTACTCCGCAGTATAGAACATTCAATATAAAAAAAGAATAATTATCAATTGAGCACTTGATTCATTCATGCTTCATCGAGTACATTACCACATAACCTAATTGAAAACACATATATAGGATCAACACGGATTCTCACAATAGTATAGATCAACAAAAGTAGAAAACTTGAGCATGCATGTATCTTGTGGATTGTCCTTATCTGTGTTACGACCTACCAAATGTAATGACAGAAGCAAGGTATCCAACATTCTTCTTCCCTAAACCTAGGCATACAGATGAATAGATCCATTGGAGAGATATGAAGCGAGCTTCATTTAAACTTTAACAGCATTTGCTCCATTATTTACAAAAAATATCTGGTAATAACTTTTTCCAACCGTACTGTGAACTGCACTCTAAAGAAAAAATTGAGGATGAATTGACTATTATCATGCAAAGATGGTAACCCAAAACGTTTATCGATAAGTACGGTAGAACAGAAACAATAGGAATTGAGTGCGCTATAGTTGAGAAGGAGCCTGCTTATCTTCAAGCAGAATAAAATTATCGCAAAGATCGCTCATAAGCTGATTGCTTCATTGAAAAAGATCTATCTAGCAGCCCAGGTAGTCTATGTACACCAGACCAACTTCTCATTAAGACAACTAAAAGTGAACAGTTTTCCGACGCTTGTCACTGACAACCTTATGTATCAATTCTCATGTACGAACCAAATCACACACTAGAAGAACATATAGGAGGGGTTTTATTCGCATTTCTGAGCATAATCCGAAGAATTTGAGCCATGAATGTCCAAAGGGTTTAAATAGCGCAGTTACTTGGCATTTACTTGATACTACACAAAACATTCAGAGTAATCAAAAAACAGCTGGAACTTGACCTATCGCACTTCACTGAAGCAGTGTCAATTAAAACACTCACCTCATTAATGTATTCAAAAGGATACTGTTGTCAACCTTGCTTTGCTGTGGTGATTTTATTTCCCTAAATTTGCACCTGCGAAATTACATGACCTTTTGTCTTTTTTTCATGTTATCTTTCGATCCGTTTTGAAATTATTTCTTCTTCTGAGTTGTGTTCATCTTATTACGCAACATAGTGAAAATCTATTAGTCTTTCATTTCGCTTATTTAATGATGATGTCATTTTTCAGCAACTCGAGAGTAAACTGATTGCAACACTCTCCTAGTATCTAATATCTTTTTATAATGTTTACTGAATCATTGTATAAATATATAATCTTTGAATAGTCTGAATAACTCCATTAAACTTATCAGTTTTGAGAGGATTTATTGATTTCAAGTTGGTATTCATCACGGAA